GACTCACATGAGCCCCCAGCTCATTGTCCCTCTAGACTCCTTCATTTTTGCCTCTAAAATGCCCAGTCACCTCTGTTTAATTTGGAATCATTCTCTGCTCTTTCCCCTACTGTCAGCAGTTACTGAATAAGATGTTTTCACACCATAACTCATGATTGGTGGTGTTTATCTTTGACAGTGGTGATGTCTGTATTTATAATAGCATAATTGGATATTATATTATACATATTTTTTCCTGTAATAATATGCAACTAGTATTCTTTTCTATCTTACAATCCTTATTTTTGTGAAATGGACTTACATTAATGTTATAAAAACCAATGCATTATTGTTTAAAACATAAATGTTGGATGGGCGCAGTGGCTCACGCCTGTAATCCTGACACATTGGGAGGCCAAGGCAGGTGGATTGTTCGAGGTCAGGAGTTTGAAACCAGCCTGAGCAAGAGCGAGACCCCATCTCTACTAAACATAGACAGAAATTAATTGGCCAACTAATATATATAAAAAAATTAGCCGGGCATGGTGGCGCATGCCTTTAGTCCCAGCTACTCGGGAGGCTGAGGCAGAGGATTGCTTGAGCCCAAGAGTTTGAGGTTGCTGTGAGCTAGGCCAATGCCACAGCACTCACTCTAGCCTGTGCAACAAAGTGAGACTCTGTCTCAAAAAAAATTAAAAAAAAAAAATAAATGTAAATACAGATAAAATTGTGTTTATAGAAAGTCAGATCTCTGTATCCTCCCACTCCATAAATAATCTGTTACCTAAAAAGATAGTGACATTATATCATGTGTATTTTTTTTTTTTTTTTTTTTGAGACAGAGTCTCACTCTGTTGCCCAACCTAGAGTGCCGTGGCATCAGCCTAGCTCACAGCAACCTCAAACTCCTGGGCTCAAGCAATCCTCCTGCCTCAGCCTCCTGAGTGGCGGGGACTACAGGCATGTGCCACCATGCCCGGCTAATTTTTCTCTTTCTAGTAGAGACGGGATCTTGCTCTTGCTCGGGCTGCTCTTGAACACTGACCTCAAGTGATCCTCCCACCTTGACCTCCAGAGTGATGGGATTATAGGCGTGAGCCACCGTGCCCTGCCCTACTAATTAGAATTCTTAAAAGCCATTAGCCCAGAGCAAGAAATCAAAGTGTAAGAATAGATTTTGGGGTTAATTTGCATCTCTGAGGGTAGGTAATCCCTTTTCAATTCTGTCCCCTCCCAAGCGAGGCTGATTCCATCAGTTTGGGCCCCCACCCAAGGTTCAAGGCAATATTCAAAGCTACAGGGATTATTTCCCCTCCCAGGGTTTCAGTGACAAACTGGGCTGGGCGGGGCTTCAGTTTTCCATTTTCTCTAAACTATAATAATGTTTATTTTATTTTTATTTTTTGGAGACTCTGCCGGGATGTGAATATAATAATGTTTTAATATAGTGTATTTTAATGTTTTAATATTTTCTGGGAAACAAACAAATGTAGAGGAAGGGCAAGCATTGGCCATCAGAGAACCGTAGAGGGCATATTCTGGCTGTCTCCTCACAAGGCACAGACTCCCTGGTGTCCCCACCCCAGGACTCACCCCACCATAGATCTGTGGACGACTCATAAACCCACTAACATTTTTCCCTGATTCTAAATGATTTCAGTCATGCTCTGCCTCTCATCAGCCCACTTCTTCAAATCTTGTTTTTCTCATCTGTAATATGAGGACATGTGTAAATACATGATCACATTTATCCCTAGAATTACATACTAGTGTTTACAAACCAATACATGAATATGTAGGTCTTCTTTGGATCCTGAATTAAACAAACCAACTCTGAAAAATAGAAACTAGACTGCCTGGGAATTTTGAAACCAGAAGAGATATTTAATGACAATGAAATTACACTTAATTTTTTAAGGGTGATTATGGTATTACTGTTCTTTAAAAAAGACTCCTTATTCTTTATATGTCGAAATACCTGCCAGGTGTTGGGACCAGACATCAGGGCCTGTTCCCTGGTTCTGGGCTCCCAGGACTGAAGAATGGCTACTGGGACTGAGCGTGGAGCAAAGGAGCAGACCGAGCAGATGCAAACAGGGAAGTGCCAAAGTTCATTAAATCGAGGCACATTCCAGAAAAGGAACCGGCCAACCCCACCCAGAGAGATGAGCTTAACAAGATTTTCCCCTTTATGCAGCCTCTCTAGTTTTATGTTAAGTGAGGGGTGGGACGTTCATGGCTTTTCTTGGAAAAAGGTGGAGAATTCCGGGAATGTGGAATCCTCCCCTTGTCTATCCTGCTAAGGCAATTTCTGGGCGTTATGGTTTGTTTTTTTTTTAAAAAAGAATACATATAAAATGCTTCATAAATACACAGAAATTGTCTGGAATTACTATCTATATCATTGTTACATGAACATCATAGTATAAAAGTCCCTAAAACACACAAAACAGGAAATCATAATTCCATCAGCCTCATAGAGTCTGCCCTCCATATCCATGGGTTCCACGTCTGCGGGTCCAACCAATTGCTCATGGGCCACTCTCCATCTACACAGGGGAACCCGTGGGTAGGGGGATGGCGGCGTGTAAGGGACTTGAGCATCTGCGGGTTTTGGTCTCTGTAAGGGTGCCAGGACCAATCCCTGGAGGATATTCAGGGATAACTACAATCATATTCTGAAGTATGTGTATTGAGACATTTTTCTCTACGTAGTGAGAATTGCAAAAACCCTCTGAAGGAACACTCCATTCAAACCCCTGCGCTAGAGACCTGACCAACCTGTAACATGGCTCTTATCAGCCAAAGACCTTGTCCCTGAGACCACTCAGCCCCCTTTGACATTTCTGTCTGAAAAAGCTCAAGACTATCATAAAAGTTTATGGTTTGGTCTAGGCGTGGTGGCTCACGCCTGTAATCCTAGCACTGTGGGAGGCCGAGGCGGGCGGATTGCTTGAGGTCAGGAGTTCAAAACCAGCCTGAGCCAGAGTGAGACCCTGTCTCCACTATAAATAGAAAGAAATTAATTGGCCAACTAATATATATAGAAAAAATTAGCCGGGCATGGTGGCACATGCCTGTAGTCCCAGCTACTCGGGAGGCTGAGGCAGGAGGATTGCTTGAGCCCAGGAGATTGAGGTTGCTGTGAGCTAGGCTGATGCCACGGCACTCACTCTAGCCTGGGCAACAAAGTGAGACCCTGTCTCAAAAAAAAAAAACCAATAAAGAAATACTATGTAAAATAATTTTGGGTTTATAGAAAGTTGCAAGATCGTACAGAGAATTCCTGTATGTCCTTCAACTAGATTCCCCTGTTAACACCTTACATAACAATGCTTATCAACATGAATAACCTTTGTAGTATAATAGTATTAAGTACAGGACCAGGCGTGGTGGTTCATGCCTGTAATAACAGGGCTTTGAGACACGGAGGAAGCATTGCTTGAGGCCTGGAGTTTGAGACCAGCCTGGGCAACACAGGGAGACCCTGTGTCTACCAAAAATAAAAACAAAATTAGTCAGATGCGGTGGCTCGTGTCTGTAGTCCCAGCTACTCTGAGGCTGGAGGATCACTTGAGTCCAGGCGGCAGATGCTGCAGTGAGCTATGTTGGTACCACTGTGCCCCAGCCTTCGTACCTTGGTGACAGAGTGAGACTCTGTGTCAAAAAAAAAAAAAAAAAAAAAAATATATATATATATATAAAATATTAGGTACAGATTTTATTTGGGTTTTCTAATTTTTCATTAATGTCATTTTTCTGTTCCAGGATCAAATGGAATGTCATATTGTACTCTGTATATTTTTTCAAAAACTATTATGTAAACTGTTTAGTACTCTCTTTTTTGTTTGTTTTTTAGTCTTTTTCTTTCTTCCTTTCTCTCTATATTTTTTGAGACAGTCTCACTCTGTTGCCTTGAGTAGAGTGCTATGGTGTCAGCCTAGCTCACAGCAACCTCAAACTCCTGGGCTCAAGGGATCCCCCTGCTTCAGCCTCCCGAGTAGCTGGGACTACAGGCATGCACCACCATGCCCAGCTAATTTTTCTATATTTAGTAGAGACAGAGTCTTGGTTCTTGCTCAGGCTGGTCTTGAACTACTGAGCTCAAGCAATCCTCCCACCTTGGCCTCCCAGAGTGTTAGGATTACAGGCATGAGCCACTGCACCTGGCCTTTTTTTTTTTTCAAGTGATCCTCCTACCTCAGCCTCCCAAGTAGCTAGGACTCCAAGCATACACCACTGGACTGATTTTTCTATATATGTATATATATTTTTTCTTTAATAGAGAGTGGATCTGCGAATGTTACTCAGGCTGGTCTTTGAACTCTTGGCCTCAAGTGATTCTCCCACCTCGGCCTCCCAAAGTGTGAGGATTACAGGTGTGAACAAAGCCTTATTTTTTTATTTTTGTTTGTTTGGTTTTTCTTTTTTTCTTTCTTTTTTTTTTTGTTTTTGAGACAGAGTCTCACTCTGTTGCCCGGGCTAGAGTGTCACGGTGTCAGCCTAGCTCACAGCAACCTCAAACTCCTGGGCCCAAGTGATCCTCCTGCCTCAGCCTCCCGAGTAGCTGGAACTACAGGCATGCTTGCCTGGACAATTTTTTATATATATATATGTATTTTAGTTGTCCAATTAATTTCTATTTTTAGTAGACTCTTTTTTTTTTTTTTTTTTTTGAGACAGACTCTCACTTTGTTGCCCAGGCTAGAGTGAGTGCCGTGGCATCAGCCTAGCTCACAGCAACCTCAATCTCTGGGGCTCAGCGATCCTACTGCCTCAGCCTCCTTAGTAGCTGGGACTACAGGCATGCGCCACCATGCCCGGCTAATTTTTTATATATATATTTTTAGTTGGTCAATTAATTTATTTCTATTTTTGGTAGAGACGGGGTCTCACTCTTGCTCAGGCTGGTTTCGAACTCCTGACCTTGAGCAATCCGCCCGCCTTGGCCTCCCAAAGTGCTAGGATTACAGGCGTGAGCCACCACGCCCGGCCTTTAGTAGACTCTTGCTCAGGCTGGTCTCGAACTCCTGACCTTGACCCATCCTCCCTCTTCGGCCTCTCAGTGCTGGGATTACAGGCGCCTGGCCTGGGCGAAGCTTCTAAAGCAGCCGGAAATCAGTACTTCGGGCCCTCCAGCGGCTCACCGGAAGGAGAGCTCTGGAAAGACCGCGTGGGCCAGCCCACGATCAGGTGACGCCCTCAGGGGCTGCACGCTCCGGCCGCCAGGCCCCAGGGCCACTGAGCATGCGCAGGCGCTTCCCGCCCACCGCCGCGCAGGCGCCCTGCATCTCGTGGCGGGACGCCGCGCGGGGAGAGCCTGTCCGGTAGGGCGTGTGCGGGTCCTGTGCGTCCACAGCCTCCGGCCAGCGCCGCTCGTCCACTTCGCCTGGTAAGCTGGGGACGTCCCAACCAGCGGGCGGCGTCCCTGGGCGGGGTTCCCGAACATTAGCCCACACTGCGGGGTCGCGGCCTGGCCGCGCGGGGCTCCGTGGGACCCCTTTCCTAACCCTAACCCTAATCCCAGCGTTCACTTCGGGAGGCTGAGGCGGGAGGACCCCTTGGGCCCAGGAGTTTGAGACCAGCCTGGGCAACGTAGCCAGACCCCGTCTCTACAAAACACTTTAAAAACTGGCCGGGCATGGTTGTATGTACCTTGTCCCGCTACTTGGGAGGGTGAGGCGGGAGGATCGTTTGAGCCCAGGAGTTGGAGGCTGCAGGGAGCTGTACTTGCACCACTGCACTCCAGTCTGGCGACAGAGACCCAGAGAAAGAAGAAAGAAAAGAGAGAAAGAGAAAAAGTACAGGAGCCTGGGCCTCTAAAACGTGTGTAGTCATATTCAACTCTGAAGAGTAGCCTGACCTCAACACCAGTTCAGGAAGTAGCAGGTGATCCCCAAAGAGTGATGGGGAGCGTGTTAGGAAGGCATCTGCCAGCCCCAAGTGCCAGCCGCTCCCTGGGGGGTTTACTCTCCTTCAGTGCTCACAAGGATCTTGCAGGTAGGAAATGGCTATATACTTAGGGTTTACGGATGAGAGAGTTCAGGCTCAGCTATGTAAAGTCTCGTCTACAGCAGCGGTCCCCAACCTTTTTGGCACCAGGGACCGTTTTCATGGAAGGACAATTTTTCCAGGCCCAGAGAGCTGGGGGATGGTTTAAGGATGATTCAAGCGCATTACATTTTTTGTGCACTTTATTTCTCTTATTACTACATTGTAATATACAATGAAATAGTTATACAACTCACCACAGGTTGAGGACCCCTGATCTAATGTAGTGGAGGGGGCCAGGCTTGGTAACTCAAGCCTGCATTTCCAGCACTTTGGGAGGCTGAGGCTGGAGGATCACTTGAGGCCAGGAAGTCTAGACCAACCTGACCAACGCAGTAAGACAAATTAGCCACGGTTGGTGATTTGAGCTACTGGGAACGCTGACCAGGAGGATCTTGACTTCGTGAGTTGGAGGTTATTGAGAGCTGTGATTGGGCCAGTGCTCTCCACCCTGAGCAACAGAGGGAGACCCTGTCAGTAAATAAATAAAATAATAAAAGTGAATGTTGAGAGCAGGGAATCTATTACAGACTTTATCATTGGCCTAATATTTATTGAACTCACACTAGCCTATTCTATGCAGCAGCAGCAGAATAGAAGTAGGTGTGAACTAAAATAAAATCTTAAAGGTTTACTGTACCACCCCCCCACCCCCCGACTGAATGGACCCCCTGTGACCAAAGGAATATCCTAAAACGAAATCTCCTGCCAGGAGAAGGGAGGTCAGACATGCCTCATCATACCCCTCTCCCTTGGGGACATCCTTTGTAACCCATTAATAGGCCTAAGAGTATATAAGACAAATCTGTAGGTTTTTCTTTTCGTTGAGTAGGTAGTACAATTTTGAATTCCGACCATGAACCTTACACTCCCAGTGTCTTTAACCAAAGACTGACAAATACAAAATGGCAACTGTGATCTTTGGCATGATAGATAAATGCAGCCAGGAAAAGAGAGTACAGTCAAGATCTTTGTGTTTTAAAAGCCATAGGATTATGGAATTGATTAAGGGGATGGGGTGTGTGAAAAATAAATAATGCCAGACACTACGTAAAGTGACAAGGGCAGATTTTAATTAGTAATATACTGTTACAATAGGGAAATAAATCCAGTGAGAAGGGAACTCAGCTTTGCTTTGTACAGAGGTTACTGGATGTTTTTTTGTTTGTTTGTTTTTTTGAGACTGAGTCTCCCTTTGTTGCCCAGGGTAGAGTGAGTGCCATAGCGTCAGCCTAGCTCACAGCAACCTCAATCTCCTGGGCTCAAGCAATCCTGCTGCCTCAGCCTCCCAAGTAGCTGGGACTACAGGCGTGCACCACCATCCCCGGCTAATTTTTTTCTATATATATTAGTTGGCCAATTAATTTCTTTTTATTTATAGTAGAGACAGGGTCTCACTCTTGCTCAGGCTGGTTTCGAACTCCTGACCTCGAGCAATCCACCTGCCTCAGCCTCCCCGAGTGCTAGGATTACAGGCGTGAGCCACTGCGCCCAGCCTTCACTGGCCTTCTTGAAGTTAGGCTCCTACCCTTTCACAGTGCTGGGAGACAGAGGCCCATCTTCAGATGTGGGCTGGAATAAACAGTAAATTCTTTTGGCAGTCTTGAGTTTTCTCAGGTGCTTCAAAGGGTGCTGATGTCATCCTAGGGATGCAGGCTTGAGTTGATAGAAGCTATGTTACTATTTTGTTCAAGTCTTTGAACAAGAGACCAAGGTTGGTTGTGGATGGAAAAATCTGAACTCTGAAATATTTGAAAGGTTTATTCTGAGCCCAAAAAACATTTTTTTTTTGAGACAGAGTCTTACTCTATTGCCTAGGCTAGAGTGCCGTGGCATCAGCCTAGCTCACAGCAACCTCAAACTCCTGGGCTCAAGCAATCCTACTGTCTCAGCCTCCCGAGTAGCTGGACTCACACAGGCCATGAGCCACCATGCCTGGGGTTAGAATTTTGTGATTATTACTTTTTAGTTGGATCAATATTGTTTCTATTTTAGTAGAGATGCGGGTCCTCGCTCAGGGCTGGTTTTGAACTCCTGACCTTTGAGCGATCCGCTTGCCTGGCTCCCAGAGGGCTAGGTTACAGGTGTTGAGCCACCATTGCTGGCCTCCATTTGCAGGTTTTTAAACGGCCTAGTCCTGGGCTCCTCGGAATCCTGAGCTCAAACTATCCTCAGCCCTTGGCGGCCTCCCAGAGTGCTAGGATTATAGGCTAGGATTATAGTGCTAGGATTATGAGCCACCGTGCTGGCCAAAAGATGCAATTTTTTTTTTTTTTTTTTTTTTTTGTTCTGAAAAAGAGACAGAGTCTCACTTTGTTGCCCGGGCTAGAGTGAGTGCCGTGGCGTCAGCCTAGCTCACAGCAACCTCACACTCCTGGGCTCAAGCAATCCTGCCTCAGCCTCTCGAGTAGCTGGGACTACAGGCATGCGCCACCATGCCCACCTATTTTTTTTCTATTTATGGTAGAGATGGGGTCTCGCTCTTGCTCAGGTTTGTTTTGAACTCCTGACCTCGAGCAATCTGCCTGCCTTGGCCTCCCAGAGTGCTAGGATTACAGGCGTGAGCTACCACACCTGACCAAGATGCAATTTTTTAAATGTAATAAAACCTTACTATCCCTTCAAAATTGGAATGTACAGGACTTTTTTTCTGCCCAACTACTGCCATGAGCGGTCAACACCTTTTCTGATCATTAAAGAGTTAGGAGCAATGAGAGCTATAGTCGGTTTTACTCTAAAATAGTACTATAACATCTACCACAGTACAACAGTACATGACATAATGTAAATATAGGCAGTTGGGCTAGATTTCTGAGTGCTCTTTTTTTCACTTGGAAATTGTATAACAATAACGTGTGTTGGGGGAAATTTTATAACACTAACTTTAGCAAATCACGCCCAGGTTTGGTGATTTGCTAAAGTAAAGACAGGATTCAGCATAAAGTGTTACTTTTGGTTATGATTTATTATAGTGAAAGGATACAAAGCAAAATCAGCTAAGAGGTGAAGTCTGGAGGAAACCAAGCTAAGCTTCCGGAAGTCCTCTCTCAGTGTTCTGAAGGAAAAGAGGTATTTGCAAAGATCATAACCCCTTCACCAGTAAATTCAGCATGTATCTCCTAAGAAGAAGGACATTTTCTTTTGTTGCTATGGTACAATTATCAAATTTAAGAAGCTTAATTTTGATGTATTACTGTTATCTAATAAATAGTACATGGTACATATTCAGATTTTTCCCACTATCTTATACTGTCCACTTTATTGCAACTTTTCTTTCCAGTCTAGAATCCAAGCTAAGATTATGTATTATTCTTGTTATTTTAATTTAGAACAGATTGGCTGCTTTTTAGTGCTGTTTTTATTGGTGCCGTCCAACACCATTATTATGTTAGTTCTGGTATGATTTGGGTGTTCGTGGTTGTTGCCTATGATTAGAATGAGATAAAATATGTGTATTTTCCGCAGACGGTAATGAATTTCTTCCCATGGCAGGTCATTGCTTTGTCTCAGCATTGGTGAAGGTGGTATTCTCTGGATCTCTGCATTGTAAAGGTACTTTTTTTCCCTCTTTATAATTAAAATATCCTAGGGTGATGTTTTGAGACTATGTGAATAGCTTATTGCCCCATAAAATTTTTCCCAATAGTTTATTTATTTATTTATTTTTTTGAGACAGAGTTTCACTTTGTTGCCCAGGCTAGAGTGAGTGCCATGGCATCAGCCTAGCTCACAGCAATCTCACACTTCTGGGCTCAAGAAATCCTACTCTGCTTCCCAAGTAGCTGGGACTACAGGCATGCCCACCATGCCTGGCTAATTTTTTCTATATTTGTTAGTTGGCCAATTAATTTCTTTCTATTTTTAGTAGAGACGGGGTCTCGCTCTTGCTCAGGCTGGTTTAGAACTTCTGACCTCAAGCGATCCACCCACCTTGGCCTCCCAGAGTGTTAGGATTACAGGTGTGAGCCACGGTGCCTGGCCCCCCAATAACTTTTATAGTCACTGATGATCTTGCCCAAACCAATTATTATAGTGTGATTTCAAATCCAATATATTTTGAAATTAAAAATCGTTTCTCACCCACAGGAATGATTGTTTCATTAGACCTGTGACTGGTTTCTCTTTTTTTTTCTGGGACAGAGTTGCACTCTGTTGCCCTGAGTAGAGTGTTGTGGTGTCAGCCTAGCACACAGCAGCAATCTCAAACTCCTGTGCTCAAGTGATCCTCCTGCGTCAGCTTCCGAGTAGCTGGGACTACAGGATGCCTGGCTAATTTTTCTATTTTTAGTAGAGACTGGGTCTCACTCTTTCTCAGACTGATCTTGAACTCCTGAGCTAAAGTGATCCTCCCTCCTCAGCCTCCCAGAGTGGTAGGATTATGGGCGTGAGCCACTGTGTCTGGCCTATGGCTAGTTTCTTGAAGAAAGTCATTAGGCTGGGGGCAGTGGCTCAAGCCTGTAATCCTAGCACTCTGGGAGGCTGAGGCAGGAGGATCACCCAAGGTCAGGAGTTCAAAACCGGCCTGAGAAAGAGTGAGACCCCTTCCTTACTAAAAATAGAAAGAAATTAATTGGACAACTAGAAATATATAGAAAAAATTTGCCAGCCATGGTGGCACGTGCCTGTAGTCCCAGCTACTCTGGAGGCTGAGGCAGGAGGATCGCTTGAGCCGAGGAGTTTAAGGTTGCTGTGAGCTAGGCTGATGCCATGGCACTGTAGCCCAGGCAACAGAGTGAGACTCTGTCTCAAGAAAAAAGAAAAGAAAAGGAAGTCATTAAACCTAGATTCAGATGGGCTAATCTGATAGAGCTACAGTACAGGCTTTGAATCATTATTGTCCTCCAAACTAAGGGGCAAGGGGACTAAAGAAGATGCCATTGAGTGCCCTCAGCATGCCAGGGCAGTGCAGCCCAAACCTGGCTGATGTGCGAGGTCTAGGATGGGTGTCCACGTCTCACTGGGTCTGAGCTCTGGGGAGCCAGGCCTTGCCAAAGGAAGTTGACCTCACCCACTGCTTTTGTTCACAGCTCAATGGAGTTTGAGGCAGCCCTGGTGGACCTCCAAGAGGAGTCCAGCTGTCCCATCTGCCTGGAGTACTTGAAAGACCCAGTGACCATCGGCTGTGGGCACAACTTCTGTCACTCCTGCCTCAGTGTGTCCTGGAAGGATCTAGACGATGCCTTTCCCTGTCCTGTCTGTCATTTTAGCTTTCCATACGGGAACTTCAAGAGGAACCCTCAGCTTCGTGATTTGACTGAAATAGCTAAGCAGCTGCAGGTCAGAAGGAGCAAGAGGAAGAGGCAGAACGAGCATGCCGTGTGTGAAAAGCACAATCAGTTTCTGACCCTTTTCTGTCTGAAAGACCTGGAGATCTTATGTACACAGTGCAGTTTCTCCGCTGAGCACCGGAAGCACTACATTAGCCCCATTGGCAAAGCTGCCTCTTACCACCGAGAAACTCTACAATGCAGTGTTGAGCCCTTGAAGAAGAATATAGAACGAATTGAAAAAGTGATAGCTCTGCAAGGCAGCAAGTCAGCGGAGCTTAAAAAGCAGGTAGAATATAGGAGAGAAGAAATCAATTCTGAATTTGAGGAAATTAGACTGTTTTTACAGAATGAGCAGGAGAGTGTTCTTAGGCAGGTACAAGATGAAGAGATGGACATTTTAACAAAGCTAAATGAAAACCATGAAACATTTTCACATGATGTTTCCACAGTAAAGCATCTTCTGAGGGAGATAGAAGGCACATGTGTACAGTCAGACACGGAATTACTGGCGTGTGTTAAGAGTATCCACCACAGGTATCAAAACCTGAAATACCCTGAAACCTTTTCATTTAGTTTAACAAAATATGGTTTCAGACTTCCTCCCCAGTATTCTGGCTTGGACAGAATTATCAAGCCATTTCAAGTAGATGTGATTCTAGATGTCGACACAGCACATCCTCAACTCATTGTCTCTAAGGATAGAAAAGCTGTGCGGTATAGAAGAACAAAAGAAAAAGATGGTTGTAACGCCAGGAGATTTGCTCTTTGCCCTGCTGTCCTGGGGTCTCGGGGGTTTAGTTCTGGCAGACACTACTGGGAGGTAGAAGTGGGGAGGAAGCCTAAGTGGATACTGGGCGTGTGTCACGAGGGTGTCGCCAGGAGCTGGCAAGACCAGCCGTCGGTTCTGGCTGGGTTCTGGGCAGTTGGGCGGTACATGTGTAGTGGCTACGTCGCGTCCGGCCCCGGGAGAGTCCACCTGCTGCCTGCAGTAAGGCCCAGTAAGATTGGCGTTTTTCTGGACTGTGAGTTGGGTGAGGTCTCCTTTTATAATATGAATGATCGGTCTGTTCTCTATACTTTTAATGATTCTTTCAGAGAAGCTGTTTGGCCTTATTTCTATACTGGAACAGATTCAGAACCTCTTAAAATCTGCCCATTATCAGATTCTGAAAGATAAAGAACCTGATAAATGAACCTGTTTCAGTTTTTATGGGCAACTTTGCCAGTAATTTAAATTTTACCACTGAAATCCAGAATAGATTTTTCTCCTTCATTGTTAGCAACTGTAAAACATGTTCATAATACCCCTTTCATAGATATGAATGTCAGGTGTCAAGTGATTTGCATTTTAAGATAAAATTTTTGTTGAGAATTATATTAACATGTCTGATGAAATTTTAAAATTGCCAATAAATTGTTTCTTTTATTTAGGTCCATCCCCTAAAGCTGTACAAATTGTTATTTCAATGGTGTGTTTACCATGTACTTAACCTTTCTTTGTAGTGGATTCTTCTATTTACCTCCATATTTCCCATTATTAAATTTCCTGTTATTTATTGCATCATTTGACACAGTCGATTGTTTTTGTGGATAATGAGGATTTCACTTTGTTTAAATCTTTTACCTATATACACTTACAAATGCACAATCCATACATAATGTCTGACATTTTTCTTTTTTCCTTATTGCTTGTCATTCTGTACATCACAGAATCTGGGCCTGAATAGCAGTCAGCCTTCCAGTAAGCACCTTTCTGGGAATTGACCTCTGCTCTTGGACTTTCTCAGTTTAATCCTATATTTTCCACTGTTTTTAATCTTTTCATTTTGGGTGTCATCACTTCAATTGTTGCAGCTTTGTAAAGTTTGTGGGACTTAGCATGTTTGGAACTAATTTTATTCTGCCCATATTTAGATGACAAACCAAATAAACATTTCTACATTTGAAATCACTTTAATTTTCCAGACATGATTTTTTTTTTTTGAGACGGAGTTTCTCTCTGTCACCTGGGCTAGATTGCCATGGCATTAGCCTAGCTCACAGCAACCTCAAACTCCTGGGCTCAAGTGGTTCTCCTGCCTCAGCCTCCCCCGTAGCTGGGACTACAGGCATGTGCCACCACGCCTGGCTAATATTTTCTATATAGATTTTTAGTTGTCTGGCTAATTTCTTCCTATTTTTAGTGGAGACAGGGTCTTGCTCTTGCTCAGGCTGGTCTGGAACTCCTGACCTCAAGTGATCCTCTCAGAGTGGAGACATTATGTTTTCGATAAGTCTCATACCAGTCTGCTTCTTGATGCTTTGGACACCACTGTTTTTTGTAATCTTTTAAGATCTTTTGTATCCCTAGTGTTTTGAACTTTATTTTACTGAGTAATCAGATACAGATTGAGTATGCCTTATCCAAAATGCTTGGAACCAGAAGTGTTTCAGATTTTTTCAGATTCTGGGATATTTGCATATGCATAATGAGAGATAGTGGGGTGAAACCCAAGTCTAAATGTGAAATTCATTTGTATTTCATATATACCAAACAAAGGCTGAAGATAGTTTTATACAATATTTTTAATTTTGCATCTGAAACAGTATGTATACATTGAACCATCAGAAAGCAAGGGAATTGGGTGTGGTATCTTCCACTTGCCATTTTGGTGCTCCAAATGTTTCAGATTTCATATTTTTGGATAATGGCTCAACCTATGCCTTCAATCTGGAATTGTACAAGGTGAGCAAATCAAAGGTTTCTATCTGCTCCCCTCTGTTTCCTAGAAGGGAGAACATATTCAATAAAATGATAACTAATGGCTACAGTGTGTTAGATGGGGTGGTGACAGGGAGCATTAGATCGAGTTGTCACAGGTGTGGGAGTGCTGTGGGTGGCCAGGGCAGGCATCTTGGGGGATGTGGAGTCTGAGCAGACATTTGAGGTGAGGGAGGTTTGCAGACAGCCTGGGTGGGGGCATAGGGGGTTGTTTCAGAGGGAGAGGCTAGACCAAGTACATGGGCAAGGGGTCGCCAAGCTGTGGCAGCATGGAGGCTGGTGACTGGAGGAGAGTGAGTGAAGGGAAACAGTGGGAGTGAGGTCAGGGGATGGAGCTGTATTTCCCTCTGATTTGGTCTTGTGGTTTCTCCAGGAGGTGGCTGTAAAGTCTAGCCCTGCCCTGCCCTGGCTTCCATTACAAGTGCAAATGGAACAAATCTGGAGCGGGAGGTAATTGGGTTAACACATATTTTGTATGTTATATGCATTATGCACCGTATTCTTACAATGAAGTAAGCTTGAGAAAAGGAAATGTTATTAAGAAAACCCATAAGTAAGAGAAAACATTTCCTAAGTAGAATTGGATCATCATAAAGATCTTCATCCTAGTCATTTTCACACTGTGTAAGCTGAGGAGGAGGAGAGAGAGGAGGGGTTGGTTTTGCTGTGTCAGTAGTGGCAGAGGTGCAATAAAATCCATGTAAAGGTGGACCTATTCAGCCAAAACCCATATTATTGAAGGGTCAACTACACGCTACATCATCCATGAATTATTCTTGCCAGAAAAGTTGAATCTGGGGGCCTAGCGCAGTGGCTCACATCTGTAATCCTAGCAGTCTGGGAGGCCGAGGTGGGCAGATCATTTGAGCTCAGGAGTTGGAGACCAGCCTGAGCAAGAGACTGCGTCTCTACTAGAAAAATAGAAATAAGCTGGACAACTAACAATATATAGAAAAAATTAGCCAGGCATGGTGGCGCATGCCACAGCACTCTAACCCGGGTAACAGAGTGAGACTCTGTCTCAAAAAAAAAAAGTTGAATCTGAATTTAACAAACCTCTATAGCTAATGTTCAATTTACAGCAAATATGTGTGTGGAGGGGTGTCAAGGAATAAGTTGACAGTGAGGAAATGACACATAAATATGCAAAATAATACTGGGCAGTAGCCTAGTCTCTTCAAGTTGATGGTTTTCTTTTTCCTTTTTTAAATTGAAACTGATAAAGTTTCTAAATGTGAGACATCTCACTTCTTCCAATCCAGATTTGAATAAGCTAACTTTAAAAAAAGTCATGAGCCATTCGGGGAATTTTGAACATAGATTAAATATAAAATGATACCAAGGAGGAGACATTACTTGTTTCTGTTTCTGTACAATAAAGGTACTAAAGGTCATGTCCATACTTTTCATAATTTGTCTTAAGGTATAAAGGAATAAAATGATAGCAAACAAAAGGGGGAGAAAAGACAGGGAATTAAAATCTTGGTGAATTTTGATTGATGCAAATATGATATTTTAAAAATTCAGATTCTCTGTATATTTGAAGTTCTTTATAATTTTTATTTATTTATTTATTTATTTATTTATTTATTTATTTATTTATTTATTTATTTATTTATTTATTTATTTATTTATTTTGAGACAGACTAGGTTGCCCAGGCTAGAGTGCTGAGGCATCAGCCTAGCTCACAGTAACCTAAAACTCCTGGGCTCAAGCGATCCTCCTGCCTCAGCCTCCTGAGTAGCTGGGACTACAGGCATGCACCACCATGCCTGGTTAATTTTTTCTATATATATTTTTAGTTGGCCAATTAATTTCTTTCTATTTTTAGTAGAGATGGAGTCTTGCTCTTGCTCAGGCTTGTTTTGAACTCCTGAGCTCAAACGATCCACCCACCTCGGCCTTGCAGAGTGCTAGGATTACACGCATGAGCCACAGCACCCGGCCTGTTTATAATTATTTTCAAAATGTGTATTGAAAAGTGCACACTAAGTTTAGCTGCATAAGGGAAAGAGAGAGAAGAATGGTTCCAGGGCACTTCAACATTATCTGTAATATTTAATTTTTCTCCTTTATGAAAGTATTGAATCAAATATGAAATTTTAACAGGTATTTCTGCATAGATTTGTTATAAAGCATCTATAAAGAAAAAATCAGGTTGGGCGTGGTGGCTCATGCCTGTAATCCTAGCACTCTGGGAGGCCAAGGTGGGATTGCTTGAGCTCAGGAGTTCGAAACCAGCCTGAGCAAGAGTGAGACCCCATCTCTACATAATAGAAGAAGAAACTAATGGCCCAACTAATATATATAGAAAAATAGCCGCAGGGTGGCCATGCCTGTAGTCCCAGCTATCTGGAGGCTGAGGCAGAGGATCATTTAGCCCAGGAGTTTGAGGTTGCTGTGAGCTAGGCTGATGCCATGGCACTCACTCTAGCCTGGGCAATAAAGCGAGACTCTGTCTCAAGAAAAATTAAAAAAAAAAAGAAAAAATCAGACAGACTGATTTGTCTCTATATAACATTTGGCTTCAATCATGGATTTTTTCCATTTACTGATTTATAAACGTATTGCCTTAAAAAGCATTTATGTTGATTTCTGAGTTTTTCTGATGTCCCTTCAGTTTTGCACCTGAGAGGATGGCCCCCTTTCCCCACTGTCCTAGCCCTGTGACTCAAAATGTGGGTCAGACTGGAGCCGTGGTTTGAAAGCAGGAATTCTGGACACATCAGAATCTTTTTTTTATTAACACATGCCCAGGTCCCACTCCTCCAAGAGAAGCTGCCTCTGCCCTGCGGTTTCCTCAAGTTCCACCTCCTTGCCAACGCCCTCAAGCCAAACACTACCTAGAATACAGCTGCATTGGAACAGTTGGGTTTACTACTCACGGTAGGAAGAACACACACCATGGGGAGTTCTGGGGGTTTTCAGAAGCGGGTGTCAGAAAGGACTTATTTTGGGGTTCATATGGTGTTAGCCAATTTGGGGGAAGGTTTAAGGAAAACGGCTTTGCTGTGATGGGCTGTTTTCAGTAAGTGGAGTGATTTTACGATTGGGTTCTTTTTTTTTTTTTTTTTTTGAGACAGAGTCTCACTCTGTTGCGCAGGCTAGAGTGAGTGCCGTGGCATCAGCCTAGCTCACAGCAACCTCAAACTCCTGGGCTCAAGAGATCCTCCTGCCTCAGCCTCCTGAGTAGCTGGGACTACAGGCATGTGCCACCATGCCCGGCTAATTTTTCCTATATATGTTGGCCAATTAATTTCTTTCTATTTATAGTAGAGATGGGGTCTTGCTCTTGCTCAGGCTGGTTTCGAACTCCTGAGCTCGAGCAATCTGCCCACCTCGGCCTCCCAGAGTGCTAGGATTACAGGCATGAGCCACCTCGCCCGGCCTACGATTGGGTTATTGATGAATATAATGGAGGAGTGAAAACTAGAAGGCTGAGGCTGCAATGTGTAAAGTGATGGATATATCAAAAGAAAAATGTTGACATTTGATTTGTAAGAAAAAAGACATTGTGTTTATATAGTCATAAAACAGTTTGAGAGTTTGTAGGAAATTGAGGTTAAACGAACACACACACAAGTAACTATAATAGAGGTTATCACAGGTAGAAAAACTTGGAATAAACAGAATTCTTTTCCCTAACGTTGAAGAGTGGATGATTGGTGGGGAAAATATTATACAGGCATTGGAAGATGATCTAATTCTGGATATTAACTTTATCATGTAGGGCAGAGGAAGGGCAGAGGAATTTGTAGGACAGAGGAAGGGCAGAAGAATTCTTCCAATTGTCGGGAAT